TCAAATTTAGTGATCACGACTATCATGTATTTATACCCTTAGTAAGGTATATTAAGTCCTCTTGATGGGGCGTATTCATCGGACTCTGATGTAACGACCCTCATAATGAACTAGGTAGAACTAGAGCTTCGCAAGTGTTTCATGAGTTAATGATGTGTTAATATAGTGAATTTTAATGTTTGAAAAGTTAGTTTGTTAAGTTTGGAAGTCAAACGTCAAGGGAAGAACAATACATTCGACGACTAGACGTCTATGTGCTTATGTGTGTTCTTGTGTGCCTTTTCATGTTTGTTGAGTTTTTTGGAGTCCAAATTGGTGTGGGAGAAACCTAAGACCTAGATGACCATGTTTAGGGGTTCAATGTCCGTGTATGACTCCACCTAGGACCCACGAGGGGACCTAGAGGAGGACCCCAACGTTTAGACAGAATCTGCTAATTCACTACCCAAACGTCGAGCCTCACCAACGGACCGTGCATTGGTCGACGCCCAGTCGTCTTGGGCGTAGCTCCACACTTAGTGTTAGGGATATTTTTCAAATGAAGCAAGATCTGAACCAAATGTCTTCCAATATTTTGGTCCGTCGTTCAAGTGGCGCCCTGTAGTTGGGGTCCGTCATTGAGTCACTATGTAAAGTTGTCAAGAAACGGCTAGGCTTGGGGTGTTTTTTTGTAAATTCACCCCAAGTCTTTTATGAATCATGGATGTTTGTTTTAAGGGTATTTAGGATATTTTAAGTTTGTTTATAGTCCTATAGCCTATGTTAGACTTCATTATTCAAATATCAAAACCCCTCCCTCAAGAAAGACTCTCTCAAACTCCATAGAAGCTAGAACTCAATGAAGGGCTAGAAGTGAAGGTTTTGGACTTTTTCTTCACCAAATATCGTGGGCTTCTTCATATAGAGGTATGGTAGTTCATTCTTGAACCTTCTTTCATTCAAGCAGCCATTCCAAAGAGATTTCAAAAAGTGTTCCAAACTCTAACTTCTTCTATCTTGACTCTAAGCATGGGTGTTTGCATGAAAACCTTCTAATGATTGAAATATATAATTTTTAGTGTTATTTGATAATTTTAATATCAAAACCCAAATTAACCCATGCTTATGCATATTTCCAAATTTTGGCTTATAGAGTGGGTTTAATGTGCTTGATTTGATAATATTAGAACTATGGTTCTCTTTATGATATGTTGTTATTAGATACTTCCTTAAATGATATTTTATGATGTATTGTTGGAGAAATTGAGAAAAAGGTGGTAAAGGCTTGGATGTAGGGTAAGTTGTTCTATCTTGCTTCGTTCTTATGGTGAAATGATCTTGAGTGGTATGGTCCACCTTTGGTGGCGGTGTTTACTTGAAGTATGTGAATGTTTTTATATGTATATTTGAGTATGGCCTTGAGGGATAATATGTGAGTGAAGTGATGATGATGATGTTCATGTTGGTATATTTTAGGAAGTTGGAATGGTATATCTTGAAAAGATTATGTCTATATGAAGTATGTGTATATGTGAAGCATGCTAGTGTGTGAATTATAATGAATGAAGGTATGAGTATGTTTAGGAGTCAATGTTATAAAAATGGTGATTATGTGAAAGGTGTGCTCACATACACACACTCTTTCAATGAATTAATGAAATTAATGAATGTGAAAGGGGGATTTGTAAGGTGGATACTCTTCGTGACTAGAGATGAAGTGTCTAGACCATTCCATAATATTCCTAAAGAACTTTAATAAATCTAAATAGGGGATTTTGGGGTGAAAACTCTTCGTGAGTTGGGATGAATTGTTTAGTAGCAACCTCACTATTCCCAAGAGCTTTCTAAGATAGTTGGAGGTTGAATACCTTTCGCGATTTGAGAGATGTTGTTCAAAATTAAACTCTAAGGATAAGTACCCTTCGTGAGTTGAGATGTGGTGCTAAATAGTTATCCCTTAACCTATAGTTAATGAATGTTTAAGACTCTGTGGGGGAGTTATGCTTAGCACCGAGAGGATTTGAAGAAGGGGTGGATACGCTTCGTGAGTAGAGATGTTGTATCCAACGTACATCTTGAGATGAGTACTCCTCGTTTGTAGAGAATGAGTTACTTAAAAGCAATCTCCTTATCTCTTAACTATGCGCCTACATAAGAGTAGTGATCATAGGTGTATTTATATGCCTTATAACAATTTTATCCCAAATATATAGCCGAGTTGAGGACATTTTCGGTGGCAAAGTCAAGTATTATTTTTTATTCATTTTGATTCCATATATTCTAACCAATATGATTAGATGTTTCAGACTAAAGATCATTGGAAAATGAGCTAAATTTGGGCATCAAATATAGGGCGAAAGTAGAAGAAGAAGTGGCGGAAAAGGAGGGACAAGAAACAGGAAATAGTGCTATGAAGGAGAACCTCCATGTTGCGGAGGCATTTCTTCCATGCAAAGTAGGAATTCCCCAAAACAGGGGAGTTCGCGATAGAGGCGCGTCGCGGCAGTCATTCCACCGATGAGAAGAGTTGTGCGAGGGAACAGGTACACAAAAATCGGCCCACGTGTTTATTTCAAACTATAAATAGTTTAAGTGTCCTCTTATTGCACATCCAACTTTCCAAAAATACGGGAGCTAAGATAAAAGACGATTTTTGTGCTCTTCTTCTTCTTCTTCTTCTTCTTCTTCTTCTTCTTCTTCTTCTTCTTCTTCATTTTTGTAAAGACTTGTATGATTCTAATACATTCTATATTGCTATTTTAGGTTATGAGTAGCTAAAATCCCTTGTCCTAGGGTTGTAGCTATGATTGATAGTTTAATGTGAACTTGTTTCTTGTGTGAAAAGAGTTATTTTTTACTTTGTGCTTGCATTCTTATTTCAATATTTTAATGCTCGATCAACATTAGAATAAATTTATGTCCACTCTTGAACTCAAAAGATGAATAGTAGGATAGACTGAAGAATGTAAGAATTGTATTCATTCTAAGGTGAGTTGTAGATTGTTTTATGGGTAGGATAAGAATTATACCTATGTACCACATTTGGTTAAAATTCAAAAAGAAAATGCTTAGTTCACCTTTATCGTCTCATACTTAACCCGCTCGACGATGTAGTTAGGTTGCCAATAATGGTAGGTGATAAGAGGTCGGAAGATTATGATAGTTAAATGAACCCTGCCAACCCACAAAGAGTTAACCCTTTGAACCTTGGGATAAAACCACATTGAACCAGAAATCGATGTATGCTACAACCATAGGATATCTTTCCAAATTGTGAATTTTTTTTTGTTGAAATCACTTGGATAAAGTAACTAATTCTTGTTAGTGTCAAATTAGTAGTTTAAGTAAATTTCTCAATCTAATTGATGCTTGAGTAAATTTAGGTAGTCATTGCAAATTTTATTCGTTGATTTGAAGTCCCTTAGGTACGAACATTATACTCGAAAGAGTCTCTTTACTACTTGAATGACCACGTGCACTTTTGGATGCAACAAGATTTTGGTGCCACCGCCGGGGACTTCTAAATTGATAGATATCTAATTTCAAAGTGTCTAAATTATTTTTAAAAGTGTTGACAACTTGATCTTTGCTCTTCATATGTGCAGGTTGTGTTAGGTTTTTGCACTAGGAAATGACCAGGGTTTGGTAGATCCTCTATATGAACCGGAGAGATTCATTCATTATCGGAGAAGGCGTAGAAGGAAAAATCATCTCGGTCCTCGTGTGATTAGGAAACCTGAAAAACCACAAGAGATGGAAGGCCAAGAACTACCAGTGATGATGACAGAAATGAAAGTGAGGGATATGGTAATCCCACATACCACCAATGTTACTTCTTTATTCAGAAGTTCGCGCCAGGTGGGAGGTTTGAATTAAAGCAGAACATGGTGCAATTATTGCACACAAACGGGCAGTTCACAGATATATCTCATGAGGACCCATTAGTGCATATACAGAACTTCCTCGAGATCAGTTACACATACACTCCAGCGGGGGTGAACTCTGATTATGTACGGATCACGCTATTTCCCTGATGGAGGAAGCAAAAAGATGGTTAATCTCTGAGCCCGCAAATTCCATAACAACTTGGAATGGTCTTGCCCGGAAATTCATGATAATGTTTTTTCCATCCGGTAAAATGGCAAAGCTAAGAAGTTACATATTGAGCGTTCGACAAAAGGAGGAGAAAATCTATACCAAGCTTCGGATAGGTTTTAGTCCCTGCTATTAAGTTACCTACATCATTATCAAGCTAACGAAGTTTAGCCCACACCTTCATTGAAGGGTTAGAACCAAACACAAAAACTTTAGTTGATTCTTATGTAGGTGGACAAGCTTTGGAGAAGACATATGTTTAGTTCTTTACATTTCTTAATTGAATTTCATAAAGTAACCCTGAGTGGAATGGCGGAGGAGTGAAACTGGTCGTACAGAAGACTGTCGGAGTTTTGGAGATGGATGCCGTCACAGCTTTGTCTGCTCATATTACATTAATGCAAAACATGATGAGCACTCACTTCAGCAACATGTCACTAGGTCAACAACAAGCCCATATTAATATGGTCCACCAACTATAAGCTTGGTGTGAAATAGTGGAGGTGGAGATCATAGTGCTGAGGTATGCAAAGAAAACCCAGAATCTATTTATTTTGTAGGTAATGCTCAGTGAGGAGGAAATCACCAAGGCTATAGAAATACCTACAAATAAAGCTGGCGATATCACCCAAACTTTTCATTAGATGGCAGCCAAAACCAACAACAAGGGTATAACCAATACAGACCACAAAGTAGCGGGCAACATTATTATCAGCAAAGCCTTGGAAATCAATAAAATTGTGGTCATCAGCAGGCTATTGAGCAAAGGGATATGAGTGTAGAAGACATGCTCAAACAAATCATGGTGGATCAAGCTAAATTGGTGGCAAATGTTCAAAACAATCAATTGGCAATGCAAAATCTGGAGAAACAATTTGGGTAGTTTTCTAGTGCCCAAAACTCCCTACCACAAGGGGGTTTGTCGGGTCGCATCGCCATTTGTATCCATCCGAGTAAGGGTACATTCATCGGACCAGTTCTTCCTTCAGTTTTAGCAGTGGCTTCCATACCGAATCTAGGCTCTTCCTTTGGTGATCAAATAAGAATCGCTTATTACACTAGCGTGTTTTTTATAAAGGAGATAAACTAATGTTACTCTACAAGGAGATTACACAGGCAAATATGGACTTCTTAGTTTCCTGGTTGGGCAATATGCAAAACAGGAGTTATAAAGAAGGGAGGGTATGATAGGATTTGCATGCGGTTTTCTCCCACATCGTCTGCAAAGCAAAAAACTGTTCTTTTGTTAATCTATTTAGCGGTCTCTACTTATGAACTTCAACACAGCTATGGGGCCCACCTAAGTGCGGGCCCTTGATGGCTCACATTACCTTGTTGGAAGGTCCTTCCAATGAGTTGCAGTATGCTGCAAATCTTGTCTGCGCGTTTGCTGGAAAGTAGGGATCCAGGTTCCTGGCTGTCAGCACCCCTCCCCATCTGCGATCCAAGAAATTAAACACACCTTTCTTGGTGCTATCCCACCTGTGACTCAAGCAATCAAACAAACCCTTCTTCTTGTTGCCTGAGTTACAAATCCAGGCTATTAGACAACCACTATTGGTGCTAGAGGTATCCCATCTGTGAATCGAGCAATTAAACACACCTTTCTTGGTGCTATCCCACCTGTGATTCAAGCAATCAAACAAACCTTCTTGGTGCTGCCCGAGTGACAAATCCAAGCTATTAAACAACCTTTCTTGGTGCTCAAGGAAGTAGTCCACACTATCAACCGTGCATTTGCACATGAAGCACCATGCGTCAGCTGACAGATGTGATCCTTCACGCTCTCATGTTCTCGGCTGTCAGCATCGGACCCAAGTTGCGACCCAAGGAAGTAGCCTACATTCTCAACTGTGATTTTGCACATGAAGCACCAGGTGAAAGCTGACACATTCTGATCCTTCGTGTTCTCGGCTGTCAGCACTGGACTGAAGCTGCAGACCAAGCTAATAAACACACCTTTCACGGCGTTTGCTTAGGTTGGAACAAGCATTGTTCTTCATTTATCACCCTACTTTGTGGGATTATATTTGGAAGCAGTCCACATTGTCAATTGTGCAATTGCACATGAAGCACCAAGTAACAGCAGTATATGTGATCCTTCGCATACTCATCTTCTCGGACAAGTCGTGGTATAAATGAGAGGACTTTTTCCTGGAGCCTGGTCAGTAATACTGGATTAGGCTGAATTGGCAATTATCCAGGCTGTGGTTGCGAACTTGCTTTCTGTAAGCAAGATTCCGATGGATAAACTTACTGATACTCCAGCAGTTGTAAAAGGTATTGAAATTAGAACCTCAGATTGGCGGAGTCTCTTATCAATCAGTGATTTTAAGGCCCGTTTGGGAGTCAAAAAGTCCAATGAACAACTATGATCCTTTCCTGAGCAAGTTGGGTTAGTTACATAAAAAAAAGGGGGGGGGGTTTGTCATGTAATACGACCTAAACCCAAAACAAGTAAATGTTGTGAACACTCGGATTAGACGTCCATCGGAGGAGTTGTCACCAAAGGCAAAAGTCATTGAATAAATAGGAAAACATGTAGAGGAAGAAGAATCAAGTGAACAAAAGGTGAATGAGGAACCAAAAGAAAAACAACCTACTCTTTTTCCACAAAAAATTTAAAAGTAGAGGAGGAATGTTTAAGTAAGTTCATCGAAATACTCAAGCAAGTACATGTTAATTTGCCTTTAATTAATGTGTTGCAGGGCATTCCCAAGTATTCAAAGACGATTGGATGAGTATGCAATAGTGTCACTCACTAAAGAGTGCAGTTCTAGAATCCAGAATGGACTTCCAACCAAGTTGAACGATCCGGGGAGTTTTACTGTTCAGATAAAAATTGACAAATGTGTGGGGGCAAGAGGCTTTTGCTATTTGGGAGCAAGTATCAATTTAATTCCTACTTCCATGTTTCTCAAATTGGAACTACGAAGGCCCAAACCTATGACCATTTTGTTGCAATTAGCTGATCGTTCGGTGTCAAAGTTAGAGGGTGTTATCAAAGTTGTGTTGGTTCAAGTGGGATATGTGATTTTCCCTGTGGACTTTGTCATTTTGGATTTTGAGCCCGATCCCAAGATACCATTTATTTTGGGACGACCATTCCTAGCAATAGGAGGTGCATTAATTGTCGTGGCAGCCGGTAGACTAACAATGAGATCTCACGACAAGGTTGTGGTGTTTGATGTTTACAAAGCTATGAAGTTTCCCGCCATATATATGGAGTTGTCTGCAACCACAGTCATTGAAGAGGAAGTGATAGCCAAATTTGTTGAAGCCAAGGTGCCTCTAGAAAAGGTGATGATTGGCAAAGATATTAAGGGAGATGTTGAAGCCCAGGAGATGGCTAACGTCCTAAATGTACCGACTGTGAATATTTTTTACAAGTTTGTGGAACCATTAAATAGAGTCTTGGGACCATCTCCTAAACCTTCTATTGAGGAAGCACCAAAACTAGAACTAAAGGCTCTCCCTTCTCACCTTAGGTACGTCTTTTTAGGTGCCAATGAATCGTTACTTGTAATCGTGTCTTCTGCTTTGTCTGAAATGCAGGTTGAAGCATCATTGAAAATATTAAGGAAAAGGAAAAAGGCGATAAGTTGGCAGATGGTTGACATACATAGCATCATCCCTGCTTTATGTACGCACAGGATATTCATGGAGGAAGGGCACAAGTCAATTTTTCAACCACAGTGCAGGTTGAACCCAGTGATGAAAGATGTGGTTGCAAGGAGGAGATCAAATAGCTAGATACGGGTATTATGTGCCCTATTTCAGACAACAAGTGGGTTAGTCTGGCGCAATGTGTACCTAAAAAGGGTGGCATAACGGTGATCACCAATGAAAAATTGAGTTAATTCCAACAAGTATAGTCACAAGATGGTGAATAAACATAGATTACAGGAAATTGAATGAAGCCACTGGGATGGATAATTACCAGATTCTTTTTATTGACCAGATGTTGGACTGGTTGGCTGGACATGAATATTATTATTTTTTGGAAGGTTATTCAGGGTCAAACCAAATTATGATTGCACCAGAGGATCAGGAGAAAATCACTTTTACTTGCCCGTATGGTACATATGCTTTCAAAGAAAATGTCATTTGGTATGCAATGCCCCAACGGCTTTCCAAAAACGCATGATGGATATTTTTCATGATATGACCAAAGATTTTGTGGAGATATTCATGGATGATTTCTCGGTATTTGGGGAGTCTTTTGACAGGTGCCTGGAGAATTTGGACAAGGTATTAGCTAGATGCAAAGAAATTAGTGTTGTCCTAAACTAGGAGAAGTGTCTTTTTCTAGTGAAGGAAGGGATTGTGTTAGGGAATAACGTGTCAAAGAGAGGGCTGGAAGTTAATCATAACAAGGTGGAAGTAATTGAAAAGCTTCCCCCTCCCATTTCTGTAAAAGGGGTGCAATGTTTTTTAGGTCATGTTGGGTTCTACAAGAGGTTCATCAATGATTTTTCTAAGATTGCAAGGCCCATGTGTAGTCTCTTGGAGAAGGAGATGAAATATTTGTTCGATGAAAATTGCATGCAAGCTTTAGCGGTCTTGAAGAAAAAGCTTATATAAGCTCCGATCTTAACTTCCCCATATTAGGAGCTTTCTTTTGAGCTAATGTGTGATGCAAGTGATGTAACTATGGTAGTGGTGCTGGGGCAGAGAAAAGAGAAGGTGGTCCACTCAATATATTATGCAAGAAAAACGTTGGATGCATCCCAAGATAATTACACTGTAACCGGAAAAAAATGCTAGCCTTGGTCTATGCTTTTGACAAGTTTAGCTCTTATCAGGTAGGTACGAAAGTTGTTTATATTGACCATGCAGCTATCAGGTATTTGTTCAACAAGAAAGATGCAAAGCGGCGGTTAATGAGGTAGATTTTACTGTTGCAAGAGTTCCATATCGAGATCAAAGATTGAATAGGTTCTAAAAACCAGATTAAAGACCACTTGACCAAGATGGAGAGTTCGTCACATTTGGGAGACAAAGAAAAGATTAAGGATGAATTCCCCGATGAGAAACTATTGCCGCTAGAGGTGACTGAACTCCCGTGGTATGCTGACATCGTAAATTTTTTTGTTAGTGATTTGTTTCCACCAGGACCTCACATTAAAGGAAGAAGCTTAGTCATGATCCTTGTTTCTACATATGGGATGATCCGTATTTATTCAAGAAAGGGTCGGACAAAATGATGAGGAGATGTGTGTATGATTATTAGATGAGACAAGTGATGGATAGTTGTCACTAGTCTGCATATGGAGGTCATCACGGTGGTGAACTCACCGCACATAAGGTGCTTCAATCAGGTTTTTTCTGGCCTACCTTGTTTAGAGATATTGTAGGTTATGTGAAAAATTGTAATCGATGTAAAAGGATGGGGTCCATTTTCAGACAACATAAGATGCATTTACATAACATTTTGGAGGTTGAAATATTTGACATTTGGGGGGATCGACTTCATGGGGTCATTCCCGCCATCGAATGGAAATCACTACATACTTGTGGTTGTGGATTATATGTCAAAGTGGGTCGAGGTAGTGGAATTACCTACGAATGATGCCAAGGTGGTGTTGAAGTTCCTCAAGAGACATATCTTCACTCATTTAGGAAGTTCAAGAGAAATAATTAGTCAGAGAGGGACACATTTCATAAATCAATTGGTGAAGAACATTTTAACTAAATATAGAGTTAGGTACAAGGTAGCTACGTCATACGACCCTCAAACCAGTGGTTAGGTAGAGGTCTCCAATCGATAGGTGAAGCAGATTCTATGAAAGACGGTGAATGCCCAATGGAAGGATTGGGCAATGAAGCTTAATGATGCACTATGGGCGTATAGGACCGCTTACAAGACACCAATTGACACTTCTCCTTATCATTTAGTGTTTGGTAAAGTGTGTCGTTTCCAGTTGAACTAGAGCATCATACTTACTGGGCAGTGAAGAAGTTGAACCTTGACCCTGAACTAGCCAGCAAGCGAATGATAGATCAGTTACATGAGTTTAAAAAATTTCGGCTCCATGCCTATGAAAATGCCAAGCTCTACAAGGAGAAGACCAAATGATGGCATGATAAGCACATTGTGTCTCAAATTTTCAAGCCCGACCATAAGGTATTGTTGTTCAACTCTCACTTAAGGTTATTTCTAGGTAAGTCGAAGTCAAAATGGAGGAGACCATTTTAGGTGGTACATATGACCGACCATGGCACTGTAGAGTTATGGAATGAGGGGAAGCAATCCACGTTCATTGTGAATGGGCAAAAGGTGAAACATTATCTTGAAATAGATTTTAATCGAGAAGTAGAAACTCTGGAGTTGAGAGATGAATGAGAGAAAGCTTGGTCGTGGCAAGACGTTAAATCAGGCGCTACTCGGGAGGCAACCCGAGGCGGGGAGTTTTTATGATTTTTCTTGCATTTCATTTTGTTTTCATAGGGTATTTTATTGTACTTTTAATAAATGAGTAATTTCATTTATCAATATACAAAAAATAATATATGTTGCAGGAATCAATGAAAAACCAAGGGAATCTGCGACCACAGCGCCTTACGGACATGCTCCCACAAGTTGTGGTGCCCAGAAGATCAAGGACAAAATGTCAAAGGCAAGTCTGCAACAGCTCCGCGTCGCAGACTATTTTCTAGGAATTTAATTTCACAAAGGTACTTTCCAGGAAAGGCAGTGACCTAAGAACGACGTGGACCTGCTCCCCTGCTTCATGATTTCTTCCGCCGCATCAATTCAAAATTTTGCAAGGCTAGTCTGCGACAGCTCTGTGTCACAAACCGGGTAGGTTTTTATTGAACTAGTAATTTAATAGTCGGGTTTTACTTGGATAATTAGGCAATAACCCGACCCCCATACCCCTTTAACCCCAAATTTCGCAAATTTTTCCTATTCTCACCAAAGAAATGTGCAAATTTCTCTTCTTTTCAACCCTAGTTTCTTCCTAAAACAAATCTGTGTCGCAAAGTAAGAATTCCAGGTCAAGTTCTTAATTTCTGTTGCTCTAAAGACATAAGGATTTCTGTCGTTGGGAGTACATGTGAACAAAAATTGTGGTTATTGTAAATTTTTGGCAAAATTGTTAGTTTGTTGTGTATTTTGGACAAAATTGCTGGTTTGTGGTGAATTTTTGGGCAACAGTGTTGGCTCGTTGGTGATTGTATGTTCCTGTGGCTAGGATTGAGTGAAGAGGCCGTTGGGTGTTGATGGAATGTGTCTCCATAAGGGAAACTTTGTGGTTTGGGGTGTTGCTAAGTGGTGGTTGGAAATTTTGAATCTAGGGGGGTTGATTTAACTGTTTATAATTACAAACTTGTTTATTAGTTTGAAGTCTTGGAGTTCCATGTTGTTTGCACCAGAATGCCCAAAAGTAAGTGTGGAGTTGCCCCCCAT